GACCAATCTAACCAAGATCATCCTATGTAAGCTCCGAAGTTGTTTTCTAAGCTCTCTCTACCAAAAATTGAAGGTTTGATGAGTTGGAATCAAAAATACCCAAAACATCCCCCAAAAATATATGTTTTTACCCCTAAATACGTATTTCTGACCGGTTCATATTGCCTGGCGACCAAAAAGCATCGCCCGATGCTCAAAACAGTGTTTTTTCCACGCTTTTGGTCGCCCCAGCGTCGCCCGACGACCAAAAAGCGTCACCCGGCGACAACTGATAGTAAGTTGAAAAACCAGCACAATTTCAGCCATAAATTGAGAACCGTAACTCTGATTCGCACATGGTCGGAAGCGTTGGAAAGCTTATTCAGTACTCTTTCTAACAATACCTAAATATGAATGCTTGAATACCTACAAAAATGAGATAAAACCAATTAAACTCAATGATATTTACACGATAATGTAATAAATACACTATAACATAAACTATACCGAATATACACTAAAATTGAGGTTTATTAACAAAAAGCAAACAAATTAAGCCGGTGAATACTAATTATTCACACACAATTTCACAACAATTTAGCACTCATCAAACTCTCCCCAACTTAAAATATTGTTTGTGCTCAAACAAAGTCAAATAACCCAAAGAACAAAGAACGATAAATCAAAGAATCACGAATTAACATGTTTTGAAAACGAAAAACAAATGCAATGGTTCAAATGAAAAACAGTACACACAAAGTAAACACTTACCACTAAACTACGACTATAACATAAACACAAAACAAATGCTAAATACAAATATTATGTCAAACATTCTAAAACAATACTAGTTCAAAATGAATCACACCTAGAAAACACAATCATCAATAGATGAAAAACACACAAAATGGGGGTATTTTCACTCATCCAACAATCTTTCAAACAATAGACTAAATTATGCATTCATTCAAAAATTTATATTGAAAATATAAAAGCAAGAATATCAAGGGTTTTTCAAGGTTGCAATGTGACTTGGTTAACAAACAAGTGATAAGTCATAAAGCTAAACGAAACAAAAACTTGCCTAAACCTAAGGGAGTAATTACTTCCACAAAGTTTCAAACAATAGAATTTCAATCAAACTTCTTCTTTACCATAAGTTTCACACCAGCACACATCACTTATTAACACAACATTATTCCATACTCTTTTTTTTTTCCAAAGCTTTTCTATTTTTTTTCTTTTTCTATCACTTCTTTTTCATATTTTTTTCCTCTTTTTCTTTTTCTTTCATAACCTCATAGAAATCAATCAATGAGTACACAATCATTTTTCTCCCCAACTTGAATTCAACCATACATTAAAGTGAATACGCCCTACTTTCTAAGGTAAGATAAAAATTCAAACCAAAACAATGATCGAGGGTTCAAGAAAACAACAAATCAACATTCATGCAAAAAGGGGAACTAAACACTCATAGACAAACATTTATCAAATACAACATGGATATCGACAAAAAACTCAAAGGGGTTACTAATGATCATACACTCATAAGGTGAATTGACTATTTGGCTAGGTAGTTGTGCTCAACACGAAACAAAAATGCCTTGATCCTTTTCTTGCATTCATACAATCAACACAAAATAAAAGATTAAGCATAATAAAATTTAGTTAAAACAAGAATTGTGACCTCCAGCATATGTGAATAATAGAAAGCTACCTCACAAAAAGGTGGAAGCTAAAGTGATTCATAAATGAATAAGTATACAAAAGAATGAATGGCATAAACGTTGTAAAAAGTATAAGTATTATGAATATGCTAAAGTATAGAAAGCGATAAACACATACCTCGAACGTGTATAAAACTTTAACAAAATTATCACCACGCATTTGCAAGTTTAAATGATCAAACTTGACAAATCTCCTCAATATTCTACAAGTTACCAGACCAAAACTTGAGTCTAAACAACAAAAAAAGAATTAGAAAAATAATACTCCTACAAAATTTCAATGTACAAAATTTATAATATATATAACAAACAAAAATCCTCAAGCTAAACACGACAAGCTTTCAGAAAACACAAATTGATATAATAAAATAAATACAAATAATGATATGAAAATCGGGTGAAAATGAATTAACAAGTTGAAAAGTGAAGATTTAAAATTCAGAATATTTCCTTATTTCAACTTGTTAAAAGACAAATCACCACACACATAAACAAATACAAACAAACATGCTTGTTTTACGTTGTAAGCTTGACGTCTTTATTGTGCGAGCTAGTAACCTCCTCTCGTCATGCCTTGATATTGTCACACCGAACAAACCTAAAGAAAGTGTCCTAATAGTCATACAATAAACGTTACGAAAACGATACAATTTACAATAATACGTGAAAACACATTTATGCACAAATATCATATATAAGTTAATATACAATTTCTATACAACATATACATTAATTACAAAACTCAAAAACAAAAGAATTATCGCAATGTGAAATCAATAGAACTAATCCTCGGCAACGACGCCATTTTGTTGTTGCGGTATATTGGCAAGCAAAAAGTAAAATATTATTTTACTGAATGATATAAGTTATATCGTATCGTGTCCACAGAGATTGGTGTATTGAAATGTCGTTCGACAAATCTCTCGTTAATGAGTTTGGATTTGAATTGGTAAAACATAAAAACATAAAAGTAAATATGAACATGAAAGAGTTCATTCTCTAGAGAGAAGAAATTTATCAAGCATGCATATAATCTACTTCTCACAAACTTAAACTTATCGACCAATTACACTCAACCTACAATACTTCTCAGAGTCATCTAGTATCGCTCACTCCCTAAGTTATTTCTAACCCAAAGTAGAGAGACTAATATATCATCTCGGCGACGATCTCTCAGCCAACCTTAACAACATAGAAGACATCCATATTACTCATATCAATGATCTCTCAACTGACTCAACCAACACAGAAGCATTAAACTTCGACACCCACAAAGATTGTTAGATCTAAATCTATCTTTAGAATCCAAAAACTAACAAATAATCATCCTAGATAAGGATTTGAGTAGTATATATCTATAACAACCCAAACCCCGAGCACATAGCAAAAATCTAAGATAACAATCGACACAAATTTGTAAAGCAAATTAAATATAACGCCATGGGAAACAAATATACATGAGTTCAAAGTAAAATCATATAAAACCCCAACCAAAAAGAAATACACAAAGAGAAAGAGAAATGAACCAAAAATCTTCCGGTTTGTCAGCGTTGATTGATGATCAATCCATCCCGGATCATCCATATGCAAGTTCCGAAGTTGTTTTCTAAGCTCTCTATCAAAAATTGAAGGTTTGATGAGTTGGGATCAAAAATACCCAAAACATCCTCAAAAAATGTGTTTTTATCCCTAAATACATATTTGTGACTGGTCCGCATCGTCCAACGACCAAAAACATCGTGCGACGCTCAAAACTGCGTTTTTTCCATGCTTCTGGTCGCCCCAGCGTCGTCCGACGATCAAAAAGCGTCGCTCGGCGACAACTGACAGTAAGTTGAAAAACCATCACAATTTCAGCTATAAGTTGAGAACCGTAACTCCGATTCGGGCATGGTCGGAAGCGTTGGAAAGCTTATTCAATGCTCTTTCTAACAATGCCTAAATATCAATGCTTGAATACCTACAAAAATGAGATAAAATTAATTAAATTCAATTATATTTACACGATAATGCAATAAATACACTATAACGTAAACTATACCGAATATACATTAAAGCTGAGGTTTATTGACAAAAAGCAAATGAATTAAGCTGATGAGTGCTAATTATTCAGATACAAATTCACAACAATTTAACACTCATCACTCATATTTTGTCAAAACTCTTGATTAGTAGTGAAAATGAGATCTATCCTTTTTTCTAGAATAGATGTTTTTGATGATAACTAATAACACTTTATTTGAGTTATTGTTGTTTATCTTCTTTTTGTTATTGTTGTTTTGTTTGCAATTGTTTATATATTATCATTACTTGAAATTATTTAGATTTGATTGCCATTGCACTTTGTCACACATCAAATCCTTATTGAGTCCTAATAATGGAGAGATATTGATCGAAGACATATCTCTTTCTCATCTTTTTTGAACTTTGTTGAAGTGGGGCCTAGTTTTATAATTATAATTGAAGTTGATATTAAAAAAACACCCAAAGTTATTTTTGTTTTTAAAAACGTTTATGATTAGTTCCTACTCATTTAGAAAATTTAATCAAAGAAAATAGTAAAATAATTCCAATAAAGCATATTTTGCTTGTTTGTCTTTGTCCCACTTTATCAAAACATGATAGCAATTAAATTAACAAATTTGATCAATCATTAGATTAGTGCTTTTAATTAATTCATTCTTATTCAAACCACACTACTCTCCAAACATTTGCTTCATTAAAAATATGTCACACTTGGCACTACATTATCTTTTTCTAAGTCATCATTGGTTCTAAAAATCCAACAAAGTTAAGCATTATTTATTCATTCCACACAAAAAGCTACAAAGTGGAGTAGGAAAAAATATATATCAATTCCAAGATGTTACAAGAAGAGTAGGTAACAACAAAGTGGAGTAAAAAAAGATGAGAATTATGTAAAGAAAATTCTAGCCATATGCTAGTAGAAAGAAATCAGAAATCCATATTGTGATTTTCCATAACATGAGTTGTTCCACATTTGTAGACACAAGCACATGAAAAAATTAACAGATTGCACTGTTAACAAAACAAAGATATCACATATATGAACTTCTTTTAGAAAAATTTCATGAGCCCCACTTCACACTCTCCCCACAATCTTGTACATATATTGTATATATCTTTCACTTCTTTCTTCAATCTGTTATAGATAAACAACTTAATTAAGCGCTTATGTATAAGTTATTTTTATAACAGAAGATTAAATAAAGTCGAACAGTTTTTACCTGAACATGCACTAATTAAAGGATATTGAACATAGGAGTAGAATTATATTTCTAGAACAATATCTGCAAGAGGAAAAAAAACAACTTATTAGTCAATGATTTATGATGTTTATGATTATGTGATTGTGTAAATATGAAAGTTAAAATGAATTTACATTCTGAATCAGTCTTGACCCATTTGCTTCCTTCATCAGATCTCTCCTCTGGTTCTTCATCATCATGATTTCTCTTCCTTATACTCTTCTTGTCCTCTATGCGGTTCTTTAACACCGATGCGCGAGAAGAATGTTGTGTTTGAAGTTTCTTGTGAAGCATTGTCCTTAAAAGCTGTACATTTCAACATAGTCATTAAAAATATGAAGCAAGATTTCTACCTTAGAAAATTTCGCAATCGCCTTAATTTAGATTTTCTGGTATCAACAATCTCACATATTCACATAGTCAGTCTATCGTTGGTTCTTCAATGGAGATCGGACAGTTTAAATTTTATTTGTTATCAAAATCTTTATTGAAATATTAACTGTCTAATCTCGACCCAACATCCACTGATATGCTGACTACGTGAATGTGTGAGATTTTTGTTTGCAGACAATATGAATTCGAAATTAGAAAGCTACGAGTAAAAGGGTTTTATGTAAAAAAAAAATAGGTACCTTTTCCATTTTTGATTCTTGAAGAGAATCTCTTAGACTAGGTGTTGGCTCGAATCCACTTCTACAAACAAACATCTTCTTCATCAAAAAAGAAATAGATTTCTTCCCAATTGATTTCTTACTTTTTTCTTTACAAATGTCTTTGCATTTATCAAGTATGACACTAAGTGTTTTCTCAATATCTTCATCTTTGTGATCTTCTGATAACTCACTGCAAAGTGCATTGCTGATTCTCCTATCAACCTCCAAACTTGAAGGACAGTTAAGAAATCTGTCAAGAGGAAGCTCAGAAATCTCCTTTTCGACATTCGGTTTCCGTCTTAGGAGTTTTGTTAACTCCTTTTGTAGCTTCCCTATTTCTTCAGGAGTGAAGTCTGGTATTTCCTCTAATGATGATGAAGGATCATCCTCTTGTTGTATGATTTCATCTTTGTTTCCAAATGTTCCAATTGCTAGCAAACTATGATGCCAATCACTGAATTCTTCTCTAGGCTCTTGTTTAGCATGATCTATGATCAGATAAATTATTTATGTCAGCAGATAAATTCAAATAAGTCGATTCTATCTATCAGAGTCTTAATCTTTTTGTTTTAATTTGAAACGAAGTGAAAAAAAAATAAAAATGAGAGAGATATGTAAAAAAAAAAAAAACATATAATTTATAAATCCTTGTCTATAATTGTTTTGGTTTTATGTAATTGTTGCTTCATTTTGAAGTATATGTTTTTTCTTTTTATGAGACAATGAGTTATAAACTATAATCTTCCAACATATTGGGAAAAACTAGATAAAAGTAATGAAAACTTACATGAAGTAGATGTAGATGTGTTTGATTTTCCATTCTCTTGTTTTCCACCAAGTTTATTTTGCATCCAACTAAAGAACTAGAATGACAAAAAACATGACAACTATGTTAGATGAAAAGTTTCATAACACAAACTAAATTAACATTAGAGGAAGCAAAGTGGAAAGAGTAATGAGTCACCTTCATGATGGAGGATGAATGAATTAGATTGTGTAATAATTTGGAAGAAGTGAGAAATATATAAAGTGAGAGGAAAAGAGGGTAATGTGATGATATTTGGATGATAGTGATGGTGAGGGGGAGAGATAGGTGTCAAATGTGTAAAGATTTGTGAGATAGTGTTTGTTTGTTTGTTTATAGCTATTAAAAGTACTAGTAGTAAGTTTCATTTGAAGGTAGATTTTATAAGCCAAAAAAAGAGGGTTCAACTTTGGGATTTGACAACTTGGTTGGATCTTGGATGATTGTGGAAGCCAATAAAATAATATTTATGTGCTATAGTGTGAAAAAAATAATTGTCTATAAATGAGTGTTTTTTTCAAGATGTGTATCGCTAACTAACCATATGCATCACTTTTAAACTATTATTTTATATATTCTGCTTTTAATATAATGAAAATATGACAACAGTTAATAAATTAAGCGTGTATATAACACATTCAACAAAAGAAAAAGTGTTTTAGTTAAGTTGGAGATTATATCATTTTGCAATTGGAGCAATATGCAATGCCTTGATATGAATATTATAATTTTCTATAAATTGAATATTTTCTGCACAATTTTAAAAACTCATTTAGAATCGAAGAAGATTATAATGGATAATGTCTCATAATCATGGTTGCATGAGACAACGAGTGTTATGAACTATAAGCACGGTCGTCTATTTTTTATATATTTTGAACGGCCTTTTAGTGGAAATTCTAGAAAGGTTAATTTTTAGTATCCACTAATTTACCGTATCAAAAAAAGGTTGTTAAGATGGAAGAATCACTTTCTCTTTATGAGGGTTGTCTGATTCTTATAAAATTTGTCATGTCTTCCATTCTGGTGTACTTTCTTTCTTTCTTCAAGGTGTCCACGGGTATCGTATCTTCTCTTGAATATATTTTTAATGTTTTTTTTTTCTGGATGGGGGAGTGAGGGAGTGAGAAAAACTTCGTGGATTAATTGAGATACTATTTGTTAGAAAAAAGAAAATGGAGGTATAAGAGTTAGAAGGCTGAAAGAGTTTATCTTATCCGTACTTGGTTAGTGACATTGGAGGATTCTAAATGAGATGAGAAGTTTGTGGTATAGGGTTCTGAGTGCTTGGTATTGAGCGGAAGGGGGAAATTATGTTTTGGGGGTAATGTTGGATCTGTTTGGTAGAGGAATTTAAAAAACATAAGGGATGGTGTCACGTTGGTTGAGGAAGGTTGGTTGATTGATAACATTGATTGAAGAATAAAAGACAAGTATCCAACTTTGTTTTGGATAGATCTTTGACTGGATGATATGCCTTTAAATGAGAGATTTAGTAGGTTGTTTCTGAAGCAACTCGAGTAAATAAATCTCTCAAACAAACAATAAAGTCGCCATCGAATATTTATTTATCCCACCGAAGAGAGAGGAAAACAACGAAGAAAACCTGAAGAGGATGAAATCAAGGTCTTGCAACCAAGAGAACAAGTAAGGGAGTCGATTACGCAAGGGGAAGGTATTAGCACCCCTCACGTCTGTGGCACTCCAAGGGATCCAATCTTGTTGTCTAATCTAATGGGTGTATTTAAATCTAAAGCTAGGTTGTAAAAGGAATCCATGGATGCAAAGGATTATGTACAAAAAGAAAAGGTTTTATTAGTCGTATTTGCCTCAGTTGCGAATATTTATGCCTACGTACCACACACCGTGCAATGGAGATCAAGACACTTGTAGTTCACCTCAAAAGTTTTGGTGTCTTGTTTGTTTTCTATGAATAATGCTATCGAAATATGTCCATTTTGAAAAGCTTTTAATAAGAAAAAGTCTGAAAACAAAAAAGGTTTGTATTGGTTGGTATTTTTTTACCTTGAAAAAGGATTTAAGTAATGTTAGAGTGTTTTATGAATTTGCCAAAGAAAAAGAGTTTTAGTCTTAAAAGGGATGTCAAAAGAAAATTCTAACAAAAGGGGAATCTCAATCCTACTCGTTGTCATGCTTGTGGACCTAAAGTTGGGATCAAGGGAATTCTATCTAATGTTGGCATACATGGATATCAATCCTAAGCTTTACTTAGTTCAAGATTAACCAAGAATGAACTAAAAAACCCTATGGGAAGCATGTGAACACACAAGAAAGAAACATGCAAACAATCAAGCACTTAAACAAGACATGAAAGCAAGCACACAATGTGTGAGAAGTGAACACTTACTCACGTATAAATGCCTAACCATGATATCATGTCATCAAGGTAGGATAAGGAGGGGGATAACACCTAACCATGATATCATGTCACCAAGGTAGGATAAGGAGGGGATAACACCTAACCATGATATCATGTTATCAAGGTAGGATGAGGGAAGTTCTTAACTTGGATATTGTGTCATCTAGGCAAAAAGTATGAAGGAACATTGGGTCTTAACCAAGATATCAAGTCATCTAGGCAAGAAATAGGGGAGATGAATAAAATCTTAACCATGATATCATGTCATCAAGGTAAGAAGTAAGGAAGAGAGAGTTCTTACCCTTAATCAAGATACCGTATCATCTAGACAAAAGAAGATAAAAGGTGTATGTCCAAAGCGACTAAACACCTAACTATGATATCATGTCATCAAGGTAGGAGATAGAAGACAATATTGACAAACACGAAGCATCAATGTTGACCAACGTGAGCTAGAGACAAATTATGGGGGTTGACTACGTACTCTTTTCCACTAGACCGACTCAATAACAAGAGTAGAACGATTCATAGTATCGACATACGACGTGAGCTATGAATGACCTGGGGACTTGAAATGGGTGGGGGGGGGGGTCGGTTGCGGACCCTCACTTCACCTTATTTCCTTTCTTTGAGGTATTTTCACAATGCCTTCTTTGAGGTCTTTGTACAAAATAAAGGAGAATGGGATTTGTCTTTGTCGAGGTCTTTTGAACACAAACAAACATAAACGTTGCCTCCTTTGAGGACTTTAAATATGATTTCTCATCTAAAGTAGGGATTCCAAGGCATTCATCTCTATTTCTACTTCTCATGGAAAATAAATTGAAATACAATGCGAGATAAAAACAGATAAGAAAGGTACCAAATAGATGACAATCCGCATATTTCTCAACAAAGCGTAAGAAACCCAGAAAACTTCGCGAAAGCTTCACCAACAAAGAAAATAAGTCAGAAATCAAACCATCTGACATAAACATCAAATCACCATCGATGTGAAAATAAATCACAATCGGAAAGTATCAGATACATCTGAATGTCGCACAATAAATCTGCACAAAAATACAAATCCAGACAATAGCAGAAGCAATGAATACATCTCAGGGAATGAGGACCCAATCTCAATTGCATAGAGCTAAACCGAACCATAAAAGAAACATAACTAATGCTTTAATCGAATAATCAACAATTAATTAATAGGTTTAAAGCTCTCTTGAATCACCTTGCACAAGTCAACAAATCAGTTAGAAATAACAAGGAAATGCAACTGAAGTTAAGCATCCGCATCACAGCTCAATTTGGAATTAAATCAAGAAGAAATAAGTTCCGAACATGCATTGGAACCATAAAATCAATTACAGGACAACAACACATTAACACACGAAAGTGCACAGAAAGCCGGAATAAAATCAATCAAACTTGATACTGGTATCAACCAAATATGCTAACAAGCTCAAATATGCATTAAGTTGGAATTAAATCACCAAACGCATACACTTACCATCTTCGGGCAGCAACGTTGCACCTTACGAAATGCTCAAAAAGTTGGCTTAAAAACAACCAAATTTGATACTGGTATCAACCAAATATGCTAACAAGCTCAAATATGCAACAAGTATAAATTAAATCACAACATACATGCAAAAACCATTTGCTGGACAGCATTGAATTAACACATGAAATGCTCAAAAAGTTGGATTTAAGTAAACCAAAAATATCGGTATCAACCAATTACCAACACAAATCACTTATACATCGAGCAACAATTAAAACATGGTTTACGGTATATTTATGAACTCCGGGCAGCCATGGTGCATATGTTAATGTTCACAAAAAAATTGGTTTGAAATCAAAGTTTTAATGCATTAAATTCAAACATCAACACATGAAAATTCAATTGGAATTCACAAACAAAACACATCCATTAAATCGATATCGGTACCACAATTATCAAGCATTGAAACGAAAATTTATTTACGCGTCGAAACAAATAATCAACTCGAAATTTGACTCTGATACATAAGTTTAAACAATTACCAAAAAGTATCGAATCAGAATCAAATTACAACGTGTAAATCTCCATAATCAACGACAATTAATTTCGTCGCATAGATCTCAACAATAACCAACAATTAAATCAATTGATTTCGCACTTATCCATCATCAAGCTTCAAGAACCTATTAATTTCACACAAATCAATTCAAGCAAAATCATTCAATTCCAATAAGCACTTAATTCCAAATCACTATTCAATTCAAGCTTACATCAACAATATCTCGAATGAATGAAACAATTTAATCCAAGAACAAAATTTTGCACTAATTGTTGAAGCGGTATAGCAGCAAGAAAAATGTAAAGTATTATTTTACTGAGTGATATTTAAGTTATATCGTATCGTGTTCACAGAGATTGGTTATCGAGCCGCTGTTCAACAAATCATTCGTTAATGAGTTTGGGGGTTTGAATGGAAAGGGTAAAAGTTATAAACAGAAAATAAATAAACAAAAATAAAAGAAAAAGGAATAACTTATAAAGTATGCATATATATTACTTCTCACAGACTTAAACTTATCGACCTGTTATACACAACATACAATACTCCTTAATGTCACCTTGTATTGCTCACAACCTAAGTCATTTCTAACTCAAATTGAGAGGCCGGCTGTATCACCTCGATAGCGATCTCTCAACCACCTCAACAACACAGAAGTCAACCGTGCTAATCGCGTTGACGTTCTCTCAGAGCGACACAACCAACACAGAGGCATTAATCAAAGACACCCAAGT